GGTTGTTGATTCCAACAAAAGATGAATCCGAGATCTCCAGGCCAAGCGGTGGCCGGTGGGCCGCTCACTCAAGTCTGTCGTTAGCACACCAGGGTTCCAATTACTTAAGGAATGCCGTTCTTCCAGATTATCTTGGATATCATTGCAAGCAGGCCACACTCCTAGGGAAACTCCCCTTGGGCAGACTGGCCACTCAGAACTCAGTCATCTGATCCCATCATGGGAACAACCACACAGAACTGGGGTCCAGCCAAGTTGACACACAGCTCCAACTATCACAATGGGCATGGCTGCTGTATCCCACTCGGTTAGACAAGAACAATGATTGGAAAATCATCAAACAAGTAAAAGTAAGCAGACAAAAAACACACTGCAAAATTACACGAAAACAATCACCAAAAAAAGAGAAAATAATAGAAAGAAAGAAAAAAAAACTTTGCAATATCTTGGGAGAGGGCAATAAGAGAAAAGAGGTAGAGTAGGACAATAATGAGGAATAGAATGGGAAAAATGAAAAAGAAAAATAAGGAATGGAATTAACCATGAGAAAGAAAAAAATGGGAACCAGGAACAGGGAAGAGAGAAAAAGCTGAAAACTGGAACCCATGGAAGGGAAGAGTAAAGAATAATAATAGAAAGGATGGACAAAAAGAGAATAATAATAATAATAATTTTAAAACAGATAAAAAAACAAACTAAAAAAAAAAAAAAGGAAAGAATAATCTAGACAGGGTGGGCTGGAGCCCCTAGGCTCCATTGGAGCACACAGACTGGGATGGAATTCCTACTACCCCAGAAGGTGGGTGGGAGTGAGGGCTGGCTGCACCTCCGTTCACTAAGAGGGTGTGGGGTATAAGAGTAATGAGGGGAATATCACACCTTTCCAGTCGTTTGTGTCTGGAAAGTCTTGGGGTTCCCAGCAAGTGGAGCTTATTCTTAGGCCCCTGGAATCTGAGAGAATGCTGTTGCTTTAAATATCCAAAATGGTGGACCCGCTTGTAAACATTCAAAATAGCTGCACCCTCCCGACAAGTGAAAGTCCACAGCTCATCCCTTCTCCCTCTTCGCTGCTTCCTCTTTTATTCTCCAGCCACCAATGCAGTCCTCCCTGCAGCTCCTGGCTAGCAGGGCCTATTTTTAGGTTAATTCTTAGGTCCTTACACCAGTTAGCAATATCCAAGCTGTCTGGGCCTGACAAACCGCAGCTCCATAGGTCTCCTTTTTTGGGGTTTTCATGCAGGTTCTTCTACTAGTTGGAGTGTAGTCTGCTTCAGTATCCTTCCTTTCAAAGCTCAGTGCTCCAGCATTATCTTCTCTATCTGTGTTAATTGGTTCCCCTTTTCTTTATTGAAGAGGGTCCTGCCATCTTTCCAGAACCCTCATCTCTTCCCCTTTAGCCCCCTGAGGACAGGCTCCCCTTGACCCTGCCATCTTTTACCGCTGGCTCTGCTGCTGGGCCCCTTCCAGGCCTCTTGCTGTCTTCATTGTTGAACTTTGACTGTGTTACAGCTTTTTTAGGTAGTTCCTTGCCTTCTTTCTCTCTCTCTTTTCTTCCTCTACTTCTTCCTGCTGCTTCTCTTTTTGCAAATTTCTGTGAGGCTGGCTGCTTATATCTACAAACTCCTTGTCAATTCCAAGGCATGACCCTTTCACCAAGACCACAAACTGACCAGTTCCTTCTCTTGGTAGGCTACAGATGCTTTATTTATTTGCATAATAGGCCACAGATACTTCATTTGCATAATAGGCTGTGGATACTTCATTTGCATGGTCTGTTGACCAATCTCAATAGGGTGCATACCAATCTCAGGGCAGGCTGTAGCCCAGGGACAAACACAAAGTCAAGTTTACAGCATACTCAGGAAATGTCATTCAACCTAGTAAAAAGTAACAGACCTTCTAGGATAGAACTTAAGGCAAAGGTAAATCCATAGGGTTTAGGAGAAAAATCTCTTAAAGCTGTTTTTCCAGAGAACCAAGGCAGATGATCACACAAAGGAAATCACTTCACCATAGCCTTCGTAATCAGTCATACTTCATTGATTTTCAGTTCTTCAGCAATATGTAAGAAAAAGTACAAGAAGGAAGACACTTGCCAATATTGAGGAACATTTTTAAAGACTTAAAAAATGACATTATATTTCTTATTCCCCTCATTCTTTTATTCATTAAATATTTATAGACATCTGTTATGTGCATTGTTCTAGGTACCTAGACATAGACCCTCATGTGTGTTACATTCTAGTGGGGAGACAGATGGACATTAAAGAAATAAATGAATCTGATGTTGGTTGGTAAAAAGTGCTATGAAAAGTACAAAATCAGCATTAGAGAATAGGGTGGTGGCAAGTACTGATTTATATGAGATTGTCAAGAAAGGCTTCTTTGAGAAGGTGACCATTGTGAAGTACACTGCATGATGTAAAGGCATAAATACTTGACAGCAGAGTAGAGCTTGAGGCGTGGTCATGCATGACAGGATTGAGATAGATCTCGATGGGTGCACAGTCATAAAAGCAGAGCGGCGTGATTCAGACTTGTCTTCAGCAGTGTGATGTTTTGGTTAGTTGAAGGGTTATTTGCAAATCATCGATACTGCACTTATAATTCTGTGAGTAACAGTGATTTTTGTGCTGTAGCTAGAGTTGGTAAAGGTTTTTTTTCTATATTTTTCCATTCTGTTGACATTTACGTGTATTAACAATATGAAATTCTGTTGTATTTTTTTTCTTTTCACAGACAGCAATGGATCAGCTTCATATGCACTTCACCCAAGCCATTCACAATACTGTGTTTCAAGTTGTTCTTGGTTATGTGGAACTGTGTGCAGGAAACACAGATACCAAATTCCAAAAGCTGCAATATAAGGATCTCTGTACAGTATGTAGTAATTTATTACTGGTTATATGCCTGTATTTTAGGTTTTCATATTCTATTCTTCTTAGCACTTACCGTTTAAAAATGCTACTAAAATAAAATGAAATATGTTTGCCAAGAGTTCTTCTCTTGTATTCCTTTACTCGTAGAGGAACTGGAAGACTCAGTCACACAATTGACACCATTTGATGAGATGCACAGAGTTGCTTTGAAATTGATTTTCTATCCTTGAGTTGCTTCTTTTATCCTTTCCTTTCAGACTCTTAGTTCTCTTCTGCAATTTCATTTAGAGTACTTCGAAGCAATTACTTTTGGTAGTTTTCTGTATACACTTTCAATCATTCTTTTCATGTGTATAAATGCCATGCCTGTCAACATCTGTAACCAGTTTTTCCTTTTCTTTCTTAAAGAACAGAGAAGCCTATAGTTAATTTAACTCACAGGTAAGAAATGGAGTGATTTAGGTTATGTTTTGGAAATAGGTCCTGCTGAGGGGTTGATGTAGAATGCAAGGAAAAGAGTATGATGAACAACTGTGTGAATGGTGTCATTTGCTTCTGTAGGGAAGACTGGTGAGGAACAGGTTTGAATTGACAGTTAGGAAGTTTGTTTTGAGTGTGTTAACATGCCTGTTAAACAGTGAAGTGAAATTGTTGAGCAGTTAGTAAAACAACCTAGATGGTGTAGTGCCTAAGGCATTTGACTGCTAACAAGGCTGGTGGTTCCAACCCACCATCCACTCCTGGGAAGGAAGACTGGACAATCTACTTCCATAGAGATATTGCCTCGGAAACCGAAGGAGAGATTGCTATGAGTTGCAGTTGACTCGATGGCAGTGAGTTAGGAGAGAGATCAAAGCCGAATTTATAGATTTGGGATTCATCAGAGTCTATTTGTATTTAAAACTATAATACTGGTTAAGATCTTTTGAGGAAAGGGTGTAGGCAAAAAAAAAAAAAAAGAGGTCCTGAGCCCTGTTCCATTTAGGCATTGAACAGGAGAGGAGAACCAGTGGAAGAGCCTGAGAAAGAGCAGTTAGCTGGGCATGGGAAAGCCATGAGATTATATTCTCAGAACTGACTGTTTCAAGAAGGGAGTGAAACCTCTACCAGATGCTGCTGAGTGTGGTATTACAGAACTGACCACTTGACTTGACAATATGGAGGTCATTATTGACCATGATCTCTTTAAATCTAGCCTAAGAATGCTCTCCATCTCTTATTAGGAGATATTCTTGAGTTTTGTATTATATCAACTAAGGAAGTTATAACATAGTTCTAAAAAGTAGGTACTTGGATGTGAGTATCTGTTCCAACATTTTAGCCCCGTTGATACTAGTAAATCATTGAGTGACTTTGAGTTTAATTAGTCATTCTCTATTGTAATTGTGTCCAGAAATTAGTACAAACTTACATTAATCATCATTCATTAATGAATTTATATGCCAGAGGCATAGATTCTTTGTCTAGTGTGAACTGCAGAAATACACTTACTCAAGCCACCACAGCAAATACTTCAGGAAGATTGTGATTATATATGATAAAGTAAGGACTACGTTATCAGTGACAGTGGATGGTTGTTAACATAGCTAAGGCTTGTGTCTTTTTAATCATTTCTTAATTATAAGTCATAAGGATTGTTTCTTAGATTTTGTGATTATTAATTTTAAATATGATATAGTTGCATAATGACATTTAAAAATAGCCAGTTTTAAGTACAACCATCATTTGGTAAGTTTTAATGATTTTGAAATGTGTTCTTTATTTCCTTATTTATGTATTTTCTTAGGTTGATAGTATAGAAGTTTAAATTGTTGCTGTTGTTGAGTGCCATCAATTCCATCTCATAGTAACTCTATGTGATGGAATAGAACTGCTCTGTAGAGTTTCTAAAGCTGTAATATTTACAGGAGCAGAGTGACTGGTAGGTTTGAATCACCAGCATTTTGGTTGGCAGCTGAGCACTTAACCATTGTACTGGCAGGACTTCTGATTTTAAAAAAATAAATAACTCCCTTCTATCAACTCAGTTCCAACTCATAGCTACCCTATGGGACAGAGTAGAACTACCCCATAAGGTTTCCAAGGCTATAAATCTTTATGGACACAGGCTGCCTCATTGATCTCCTGTGGAACGGCTGGTGGGTGTGAACCTCCAACCTCCTGGTTAGCAGGAGGATATTTTAACCACTGTACCACCAGAGTTCCTTCAAACACATACACACCCATATATATAATTGCATACATGTACCCACACATATACACAATATACGTCGTACACATGTAGAATATCATGATTATTTACCAAGACTTAGTAAGTTTGGATTTAAAGATAAGTTCAGGACAAAATAATCACATTTGGGACTTGTATCTTCATGTCTAAAGAGCTCTGGTGACATAGTGGGTAAGGCATTTGTCTGCTAACCAGGAAGATTGGTAGTTCAAACCCCCCAGCTGCTCCACAGGAGGAAGATAAGGCAATCTACTTCCACAAAGATTTACAGCCTTACAGCCTTGGAAACCCGATGGAGGTTGTTGTGAGTTGGAATCAACTCCATGGCAGTGGGTTTGGTTTTGCCTTTATCTGCAGGTCTGGTTGGTACTACCAGAACAGTGTTGGTTACTCATAATGGGTCCCTGGTGGTATGTACTCAGAAGTTGATAGAAGAGAGAAGCAGGGTCATTCACATATTATTTTTCTATAGGAACAAACCAGGTTATTAAGAAATAATTAGGTATTTGTTAATTAAGTTTCTAGGAGAAATGCCACAAAAAATGAAATGAATCAAGATTTAAAGCACTCATGGCACTGTGGTTAAAGCTTTGGGTTGCTAACCAAAATATCAGTGGTTTGAATCCATCAGCTGCTCCACTGGAGAGAGATGAGGCGGTCTGCTTTCATAAAGATTTACAGCCTTGGAAACCCTGTGTGGCAGTCCTACTATGTCCTATGGGGCTGATAAGAGTCAGAATTGACTCAATAGCAGTGGGTTTGGACCTTGCTAAATATAAACCAGTTTCTTTGTCATTACTGAGGTCATTGGTTCATATCAGCAAGGATAAATAAGGCTTTAGAGAGTTTGTAACCTGCCTGGTTGTGCTGTTGTTGGGTGCTGTTGAGTCAATCCTTGTAAGGACACATTAATTATGATTAGAGGTAGAGGAAGGTAGGTTTAAGCAGCTTAAAGTGTCAAAGTGGTCAACACAGTTCTTTATGATTCCTAAGGAAGGCAAAACTGTATTTTTTTTTTATCAGGAGCCTCCAACTTTTAAGTGGGGTCTTGAAGGATTTCAGTAAGCAGAATGTATGTTGATAGTCCAGGGATGTAGAGGAAGAATTTCAAACAGTAACATGAGTGAGCACAGAGCAGGTGAAAGAGCAGTAGATTGTCGACTTGGTTTAACTGGATTTCAGTTTGGTGATTGGGTTGTTTCTAGATGCATCCTGGGACTAATGAATGCCTGTGGATTGCGTGCTTTGGATTGTAGTTTTCTGAGAAACCAGACTTCCCTGTCTCAACTGGAAGTGGAGGGTTTTTCTGTGTCCCTGACGCTGGTTCAAGTTTGGTGAGGTCTCTGCTGTCTAGTTTAAGAGTCCTTGAAAGTACCAAGATAATTTAGACAGCTAGGTGATTTGTTTTTTGGGGTGGTCAGCAGTAAAAGAGTCAACCCATTTCTAGAGTGTAGCACGCAGCTACCAGTAGAAACAAAAAAAAATGATTTACTGATAGAAAGGCATTCTTGAAACCTGCCAAGAAACTCTTTTATTATGTTGATAGTGTTTTACATTTAAGTACTGCTTTTTCTCTGTATGAGATGATCTCAGATAGCATGAAGGGTCAGCAGCATTTTATCATTTGAAACCTGATTACACAGTTTTGTTTGTATTATTGTATTAAGTTGTCTATCTGATTAATGCGATGGCACATAGCAACAACAACAATCTGATTAATGCAGTTTAGCAACAATCAGGAAAGTGTGAGAATGGTACTAAAGAAACACCTTCTGTCTATTTCACAATTTAGGCAATCCTGGTTACTCATTCCAAGTGTGCCTTTATGTAACTATAAGGAGCTTTGGTGGTGCTGTGGTTAAGGCCTTGGGCTGTCAACCAAACAGTTGGCAGTTTGAATCCACTATAAGTTCCATAGAGGAAAGATGAGGCAATCTGCTTCCGTAAAGATTTACAGCCTTGGAAACCCTATGGGAGTTGCCATGAGTCTGAATCGACTCGATGGCAGTGGGTTTTGTTTTGTTTTTTTATGTAAATATGTAAATAAGTATTTAGTATGAATGCTTGGTAGATGAGAGATAAGCCGTATAGTCCAAGGGTTATGAGCATGGCCTCTGGAGCAAGACCTGCAGAGTTCAAACCCCAGCTCTGCCATTTGCTAGCTGAGTAACCTTGGGCAAGTAACTTAGTGTTTAGGAGCTCTGGTGGCATAGTGCCAAAGGCATCTGACTGCTAACCAGAAGACTGGCGGTTCAAACCCACCAGCCATTCCTCAGAAGGAAGGTTGGGCAATCTACTTCCGTAGTGATACTGCCTCAGAAACCCAAGGAGGGGTCGCTATGAGTCAGGTCCCACTTGATAGCAGTGAGTTTAGTTTGTTTTTTGTTTTTTGGTAAATGAGAGTTCTTTTCTTCATGAGATGCTTGTGTTTTTAAATTATGAATGAACCCAGTCTAATAAAAGTAAGTTTTGCTGCAGACATAAGCATATTTTTATATGTGGAGAATTACAGTTTTTATGCTTCAGAGACAGTCTCTTTAGTTTATTTGCTTTAACCTTTGAGGTCCAGAGACATGAAAGAATATGCACCAGGAATGACCTAGTAAAGTCACAGCATTGGGCCTCCAACATTGACCATCCACACTATTGCTTCTTCCATTGTCCAGTGTCTCTTCTCTGGTTTCTGATGGTTAAAAAATGTTTATGATAGTCATTTTTTGTACCACTTGGCTCTTAATGGAAGTAGAGATTGGAGAGATTTTGGAACCACT